TTCCCCGTGCATCATAAACATTGACTCACGGGAGAAGTAGCTGATGTGTGATTTTTTTTTTGTATGAAGAGTGCTAGAGTAAGTTGAGAACTCACCTGAAGGTAGCCTGTGAGTGCTGTGGAGCCCTCCATTAGGAGAGTGATTTGTGGATCATCCAGGACGTCATTAAGGGAGTCGTACTTCAGTGGCACAGTCTTCACCGCCAGCAGTGACGTCAGACCACCGCTGAGCATCCATCCACAACCGCCCAGGAGGAGGCGCGACAGAAGAATGAAGGGGAAGCACAAAATGGAAGAAGAGAAACTGCAACAGGGTGGCAAGGAGGAAGAATAGTAAATAATTCATGTTAAGCACTAAACCCTGTTGGACATTCAGCACAAGACATGGTGGAGGCTTGATCCTCCGTCTGCTGAATGCAAGATAGACATGCTTCCTATTTGTACTCTCCTGCAGCGCTGTATGACCCTTATAGGTTCAGCGCTTAGTTATGATTATAATAAATCCTATATGTACTCGCCTAGTCCAGGCAAGGAGGAAGAGGAAGACTGGAGAGAGAGGTAAGTCACAGGAAGCCGAAAAGAGAAAGGGAAAGGTATAATGATATGGTGGGGAACAGCAATATAGGAAACTCAAATGAGAAATAAAATCCTAAACTACTATGTGTGGGGGAGGGAGAAGAGATGTAATAGGTATACATGTACATATATGTGTGTGGGACATGTAGCTGATGTGGGTGCATGTGAACCTGCTAAAGTGTTACCAATACGTTTGTGTGGATGAGTAAGGGCTCACCTATACGAAGATAATTAGTGTGACCTCACCTGTAACTGCGGGTGAGGACTAGGACTGCCATCAACCACAGACACACAGTGACACGCAGTGCTACACTTTGTGCCACCGGCTTGGCACCTGAGGGAGGCAACACGATTAGTGTGCCATAATTATTACAGCATGGAAGTAATTCATTAATCATAATAGTGATAGCAGCAGCTATGGGGTAGTAGTAATAGTAGTAAAAATATCAAACTAAACTAGTAACAGCAGTAGCAAGAGTTACGAATTGTCCTGAGCACACAGCGAATACTGAGGAACGAATGCGTAGTCGTGACAACAGGTACTCACTGCTGGAGATAAGCATCTCGTAAGCAGTCCAGAGATGAGTGGTGAAGGATGGTGTCTGGTTGGGAAGCATCCCCTCCATACCTGTCTCTACTACTGCCACCATCACCATGCTTACCCCCACACACACCCACACCTGCCATCTGCAACACCACACACCTGTTACCACCTAGTGTTAACTCCCCTCAAGGAAGGTTCCTTGATGTTGGTGAGGGGCTCTTGATTTAGGGAATTGGATCTGTGCTCCAGTTCCCCGAATTAAGCCTGAATGCCTTCCACATCCCCCCCCAGGCGCTGTATAATCCTCCGGGTTTAGCGCTTCCCCCTTGATTATAATAATAATAATAGTGTTAACTCAAATACTGATCAAAAGGATGTTGACCACATACAAGGTCACCAGGATATTGTCAACACACTCACACACAGGTCACCAGGATGTTAACTCACGTGAAGGGATCCAAGAAGCCCCAGGGGTCAGACAGTGGTCCTGGTCTGGTGACCAGAATGTGAAGCACTTCACTGAAGATAGGGAAGGTGAAATCAACTACTTGGCTTCGCTGGTAAGTCAGACCGAACGGTCCTAAGCCCAAATCCGCCCTCTGACCCATCAGGAAAAAAGAGAAATACTAGCATACAATTTCACGAGTTTTTTCTTTTCTTTGTAAGCTACACTGATATTTAAAATGTTGATTTGTCTTTCATATTAATGGTAGAGTGATGCTGTGTAATATCAGACTTGGCATGCGAGGTATACAACAGTTGTACAATAAATACTAACCTGTTCTAGCAACATGCCTATCATGCCGTTCCAGGTACCATTGTCACTAGGTGCTCCCCAGTAGCCGTCGCCTTGTACTATCGTGTACCTACAACAGGAAAGTCGGTAGTCACCACCATATATGTGAAATCTTAGGTCTTCATTGACAGTGGTGAAAGACATGGGAATTAATATTTATCCTCAATACCGAGTAATTCAGGGCACCAACGAAATAAGTTGCATTGGTTTTTCTTGGGTAAATCTACATAATGTACTATTGTATGTGACCATGACATGTGTGCTCTGAAGATCATTGTAGAAAGAAAATATATATGTATGCTACAATTAAACACACACTTAAGGAGTGATTTGTGACTAGATAACTAATGGGTTTATTATAATCTATTTATGTGCCCACGTTGCTCCAGAATAAAATATGGGAACGACACCCAAGAGCCGCACATGTGTCTGATTCATTAGCTTGTTGGTGTTATATATCTTTAATATAATAATAAATAGTATCTGAAATAGCTGATCCTTGTAAAGAGGTGTTCAAGGTACATCATCTCTTTACGGTGCTTCAGCAGCCAGAGGTTTTAGCACTTTTATTTTGGGAAGTAGTCGCATCACTGGATAATTCTCAATTAATATTGCATTCATAGGGTCAGTGCCAAACCGTACTGGTCACAGCACCTGAGGAAATGAGAGGCCTTCAGGTTCGATCCAAGGAAGGGAAAGGAAGGCACAATTCTTGGGACTAAAAGCTCCCACTGACTGGTGATGTGTAGGTACCTACCTCCCCTGATGAGCGTTTGTTCTTAAGATATCAATGGAAATGAAACCAGTAACAAAATATATAACATATGGTTTTCTAAGTCAATTAGTAACTCGCTTAGCCAACCTAACACTGAGATCCAGTCCCTGGGCTCATTATGTTCCTTTGTAATCTTTCGACTACCACCAAGATCATGGGGTGCATAATACGTCTTTTAAAGTATCTAACTTCTAAGACAAGTAACTGACGTAAAGTTGAGAGAGGCAGCGAGGGCGCTGAGGAAGTCGGCCATGGGTCCGTGTATTACAGTCAGGAAGGTCTCCTGCAGCACCCCTGGTCCACTAACATCCTTCAGCAATACCTCCACATGCGGCGGCCATGACTCTGCAGCCACCCGCAGGTGCGGTGCTCGAGGAAACCTGCGGAAAATACACATATCGTGTTTTATAGCCAGAACTTGTCGACTTGGCCTAGTCAGCAACGATCGTTTTAGTAGTAGAGTCGGTGAGCCAAGTGGATGACAAAACACAAGACAGTGTGAGTTTTACAACAGCGCTTCTCCCCTGGAGTATACCTGGAGGGTGTTCTAGGGGTCAACGCCCCCGCAGCCCGACCCATGAACAGGCCTCAAGGAAAACTTTATTATAACAACGTTTCATTCAGTCAAGAACATTTATTTCACTCAAGAACACGTCTCCTTTTACCTAAATTATTATCGGTAATTCTACCAACAATATTACACACACACAATACTATGTTGATGTGATCAATCGTCTCCCTCAAGAGTCAAGGTAATAATTTATTTCGTAATTGAATTTCACCTTACAAAGAGAGAAGTGAAGACAATCTGACATTTACTTGCGAGTCACAAACACCAACAGCCACACTGATCGGCCTGCTCCAAATTTACTCACTTGAACCTAAGTGGGTTGTTCATCGTGGCTCCAACCTGCGCCAGTGACTGCCACTTCCCACTCTCCGCTGATGACCCGGTCCATGAACCTACTGCTGCCTCTCCTGAAACATTGAATATTATATTAAATAAGTTTATTTAGGCACATATACACATAAATAAAGTTACACAAATTATCATACAGAGTAATATATGTGTATATTACCTAGGATAACTCAAAAAAAGTCATAGTGATTTATTTCCATTAGGGTCCTTGAACATTGTGTTATTCGAGATTTTGTTTATGAAATTGTCCCATCTAGAGCCATATACATATGCGTAAGTATGTATGCTTGTGCATGCACAACTCACACAGCTATTCTACAAAAGAATGCATAAAACATGGAAAAATATAACATGTGAAGAGCAGAAAGTGGTGCCTGGAAGTGCAGTTACCTGACGCAATGATTGTGGCACTGCTGAGTGTGGTGACAGGGAGACACACCCACACCAACACCACGCCCACCGCCCACACCCACATGACCACGCCAATTCGCCTTACCACCGCCTATATCACTGTGTTTTGAGGGAGAATGGAGAAATTGTGAGAAAAGGAGATGCATTGTAGATGCTGCAGATGTTCTTATAGCAATTTCTGTACCCAAAACATTCACTCCGGAACCCATAACAGTACCTACTATCTACTTCTGTCACGGCAGATGCTGCCACGTTACCTGCTGGCACTCACGGAAGATGCTGCTACTTTACCTACTGTCACGGTAGATTGTGGTGCTGTATGCCTGACATTACAGTAGATGCTGGAATTGTACCTACTGTCACTCCACTGAGCTCTATGGCTCACCTACCATGGGTTCAAGTCTCACCCTCTTGTGAGATCTGTACCTACTCTCGCGGCAGTTGCTCCTACTGCTGCTCTAGATAATGTTGCTTCAGCTGTTGGTGATGTTGCTTTAGTTGTTGGTGATGTTGTTGCAGATGTTGGTGATGTTGCAGATGTTGAGTTGCGTCTGGTTGGAGGCGCTGGTGTGGTGACCTTATTTATATAAGAAAATCACCGCCTCTAGTTTCGACGTCTTCTTCCCCCCCACCCACACCTCCCACACACCCACACCGCCCCCACACCCCCACACCACCACCCACACCCCCACACCACCCCCCACACACCACCCACATACCCCCCACCCCACCACCCACACCCCACACCACTACCCACACCCCCCACACCACCACACACACCCCACACCCACACACACCCCACACCACTACCCACACCCCAAACCATCACCCACACCCTCCACACCACCACCCACACCCCCACACCACCACCCACACTCCCACACCACCACCCACACCCTCCACACCACCACCCACACCCCCACACCACCACCCACACCCCCACACCACCACCCACACCCACACCACTACCACAACCCCCACACCACCACCCACAC